GTCTTTCTTTAAAATACTTATATACATGTGATGTTTCTCCTTATAACTGAGGATATCAAGTCAGCATAACACAGAGCCCTGAAAGACAGAAGTGGAGAAAGCAGCTAGAATCTTCCTTTGCAGTCCCTAGAGAGCATGCATCAAGAAAACCTCAACAGCTATATTAAAATGGAGTCCAAAAATAACTGATGCTGACCTGTCGCATCCTGTAAGTCAAATCAAACATTTTTAGCAGTAATTATAGTATTACACTGCATAAACAAACAAACAAAGCCATGTGAAATAATCCTGCCTCTACAAGGGATGACATGGATTTACGTGATACAAAAGAAGCCGTGTAGCACTCCTATAGCTGAAGGCCAACTGCTGTTTCAATTACAAACCCATGTTGAGGGCTTAGGACTATGGTTTTAATTGTTAGTGGCTTGAAAGCTTGGCATTAAAGCCAGAAACCCAGACACTAAAATTAATAATAATAAAACAAGAAGTCAATCAATTTAAAAATTAAAAACCTTAGTTCTCAATCAATTTTTGTTGTGTACTGAAAAAGGACTTTAAAAAAATGATAGAGAGGACGATTTCTAAGTTTTTCTTTCCCTGAGTGGTAATTAAAAAACTGCCTCTGTTAAAAAAAAACAAGGAAAAAACCCCATCTTTTTGGAACTCCAGCTGTTTCCATAAGCACTCTAACCACAGCCCTGCCACTACATGTAGCCTCAGGAGCAATTACCCCCTGATATTTTTAGTCATGTCCAGCCCTGCCAAGGACAAGCCAGGGGGAGATAAAGTGTATCTCGCTTCCATACGGCATGTGTCAACAGCAGCCTGCCTTTGGGTTTGCTGCAGCCTCTAAAGTGGGTGTAGGGGGGCGGTTTGGAGAGCCCAGGCAGGAGAAAGGCTGTAACCTACCACCCTGTGATCATGGGTCCGGGCGGTGGGGAGCCAGCCATGGGAAGTGCTGCTTGTTGTGGTGGTGCTTGTGCTCTTCTTGAGAAGATGTGGTTGCAAACCCACATCAATTAGCTGAGAAATTCAAAAGCTCAAAAATAAAAAAATAAACCCAACCCCCCCGCCCCCCATGTGAAATTTAACTCACTTTTTCTTTAATGACTCTGTTTACAAAAGGGATTTCAAACTGATGAGCCAAAGTGCAAATTAAATGCATGCACTTCTGCTCTATTCTTCAGAGCTACAAACCTTCAAGTGCTGCTGCCTGTTTAATAACCTCTGATTTTGTGGATTCCATGTACCTAGGCTGCTGCTAAAATGCTGCTCACAATTTTTAGGAGTTACCACGTGAACAAGCCTATTTTTAGGCTAAATCGGGAGACTATAGCTCCCATTTAATGTTCTGGGATAATTCAGGTAAGATGAGGAGGTGAAACTCGAGGGGCTGGTTCTATAAAACCCTCACACAGACCACAGGCTTGACCAAGAATCAGCAGTAATTGAATTGAAGAGAGACAGGTCACATCCAAACCTGCCAAGCTTTAAAATCCTTTAGAAACAGAGCTGCTTTGTTATAAACACTGAGTTTCAATGCTAATCTCACTGATTTATTCAGTAACCATGCCTTATGTGGTACAGAACACTCTCCTCTTCAACCTTACAACAATAAAACCCAATTCTCTTAGCTGCCGAGCCAGTATTTACTGACACCTTTGCCTTTGTTTAAACAAAGAACGGGAGCAAAAGGCCACGGGCTCTTGTTGAGCACAGAGTTTTAAAGCTGCCGAGTATCACAGGAGTCATCAAACATGACTGCAAAGCCCCCTGCAAGTCCTAATTAATGTGGGAAATGCCAGGGGTTTCCCATCTTTGACTTTTTGTATCAAAACCCAAGTGCAAATACATAAGCCACTGCTGCTTCTTTGGTTCCATAATGATCTGCTTACTGTAGATGTGCTAAGATACTTCAGGTGTTGCAAGAAACAGGATTTATTTCCTAATAATCCGATCCTGCAGCAAGATTCACACTAGAAAACTACACCAAAGGTCAAAATTCACTGCCACTGACCATGCACAAAAACATCCTGATTTAAAGACAAACCCTACATGTATTTTATTACACGTTATTCTATACTTCACTAGCAACTTCCACTTACTCATTCCCAGAGGAAAAACAAACTACCGCTGTTCCAAAAGGTGAAGTCAAGCCCTGCTTACATTAAAGCAACTCTAACCAGGGTTATTACATTTTCCCAGACTGTACCATGAGGAAAACCATAAGCAGGAAATGATCACACTCACAGTGTTACTCCCCCACTGATAGACTGGTGTAAATGTGCTTAACACTGACAAATACTGTGTGCTCCACAAGGGCACAGGCCAGGGTTTGGGCTCGGTTCCTGTTCCTACGCCTCCGGCTGCATATCATGGTGTCCAGGCTTTGGAAAGATCTCAACATTCCCATGGCATCATCTTAACTAGAGAAAACTGGAATTTATGTATGAGAAAATATGTTGGTTTTTTTTTCATTCAACTGAGGGGAACATTCAGGACTAGTCTGGAATGATCAGGAATTGGTTATTTTTACGAGTATCAAAAAGGGACAGACCTTCTCCTAATAAGAATGAAAAGTCCCAGAACGGACAGAAAAGTCCAGAGCTCGAATCACATCCAGATCTCACTTTATGCCTGCAGTTGAGGGTGCCAAAGCACTTTTTTGCCTCCAGATTTGCCCCAGCCCACCCTGTGTCTCTATTACAATATATCGAAGCATGTTTTGCTCCCTGTCTTCTGATTTTGACAAAAGGACTCTCCCCAAATGCTGCTGGCAGAAAGGAGCTGTGTTCCAGTGCAGGATGGCTCCTGCTCTTCCTCAGCAGGGGTTGAGATGGGAAAGTGCTGGTCCTGCAGTCCTGACAGCACTCTCATCCTGCTTGTATGATGATGAGGGGGGGACATGGATTATCCCATCGTAAGGCCCTTCCACAGCAGTGGGCAAGGTGTGGGACATAAACAAGGAGTGCTTGGCTGTCCCTGGCTATCCCATGGTTAATGAACTGACAGTGAGCTGGCAACATACCAGCTAGGATATCACACCCAAGCACGACCTGCAGAATGAAGAGACTTCATTCTTTTTCCTACCTAGGCTAATGGCTTCCACAAATGGGGAAAACACAACAGAATTAGTTAAGAAATACATACTTACAATAGAATAGTTTGGTTTGGAAGAGACCTTAAGCTCATCCAGCTCCAGCCCCTGCCACAGGCAGGGACACCTTCCACTAGAGCAGGTTGCTCCAAGCCCCTGTGTCCAACCTGGCCTTGAACACTGCCAGGGAGGGGCCAGCCACAGCTTCTCTGGGCACCCTGTGCCAGCGCCTCCGCACCCTCACAGGGAAGAGCTTCTGCCCAAGATCTCATCTCAGTCTCCCCTCTGGCAGGTTCAAGCCATTCCCCTTGTCCTGTCCCTCCAGGCCCTTGTCCAAAGCCCCTCTCCAGGTTTCCTGGAGCCCCTTTAGGCACTGGAGCTGCTCTAAGGTCTCCCCTTGAGGAGCCTTCTCTTCTCCAGCTGCCCCAGCCCAGCTCTCTCAGCCTGGCTCCAGAGCAGAGCTGCTCCAGCCCTCGCAGCAGCTCCGGGGCCTCCTCTGGCCTCGCTCCCGAAGCTACACGTCCCTCCTGTGCTGTTCACAAGAGCTGGATCAGGGCTGCAGGGGGGTCTCCCCAGAGCACAGCAGAGGGGCAGGATCCCCTCCCTGAGCTGCTGCTCACGCTCTTGGGGTGCAGCCCAGCACATGGGGGAGGTTCTAGGCTCAAGCACACACTGAAGCTGGGTCATGAACCAACACCCCCAGGTCCTTCTCCTCTGGGCTGCTCTCCATCCATTCTGCACTGAGCTTGTATTCATGCCTGGGACTGCCCTGACCCAGGTGCAGGACCTTGCACGTGGCCTTATTGAACTTCACGAGGTTTTCCATCAGAGGTGGACATGCCCACCTCCTGAGCCTGTGCAGGTCCCTCTGGATCCCACCCCTTCCCTCTGGTGTGGTGACTGCACCACATAGTTTGGAGTCGTTACCATATCTGATGAGGATGCCCTCAATCCCACCGTCTATGTCACTGATGACAGATACTTAGAGTCATCTATACACCCGTACTTTGAGACCAG